CGCCCCGCCCCGGGAGCCGCCCGAGCCGGGGCCCCCGGCGCCCGAGAGCCGGGAAGGCTGGGGGTTCCCGGTCCTCGACCACCGCCCGCGTGGACAGATCGGAGAGGCTGGCGACCTGTGGGGTCCGCCCGGGGTGGAGCCCGCCCGAACCCGGGAACGTGCGTGCGGAAGTGTGTTCCGAGGGGTGGGCTGGGCCGCTGAGCTCTCCGAGAGGCCCCGCACGTGGGTCCCGAGCCCGGGCCTGGCTCCTAGCTCACGGCTGGAAAGCCAAGGTCAAGGAGCCTGCGGCCGGTTGCACACTCGGGAGACGCACCCAGTCTGCCAGAGCCATCTGCCAGCCGCCTTCCTTCAAGGGGCTGATAGTCTAGACTTGTGCAAGCATCTGGGCCACAATTAGGGGAAAAAAAAAGGCAAAGCGTAACAGCGAACATAAATACAAACCCTTCAGACTTGGGTTTGGTTTAGGACACCAGGGCAGGAGGACGCTGGCGGAACTCTACCTTCCTATACCTCAACTTGCCAGAGAGAATCGTTCTCTCTCCAGCCAGGAATGAGAGTGAAGAGGGGGGATCGATCAGCAGTGTATAAAATGGCATTACAGTTTGAGGACTAAAAGAAGAGGTAGGAGGAAAGGGGAAACTCCCCCAACTTCTTGCAGAGCATCCTGTGTGGTTATTTTATGGCAATCACGTTTTGTGGTGATGTATCTTCTACTAGGAAAGCCAGCACCTCTGAGATAAAACGACCTAGGCTTGATGTTGGAGCAACTCACTGGTATGTGACCTTGGAGAAGTCACATAATCTTTCTGGGCCTCATTTGCTTTAGCTGAGAACTGGGAAGGATAAATATTACCTATTTCACTAGGTCGTGAATATTTAATGGGCTAAATCACCTACTGCACTTAGAATAGTACCAGACACCTAATTAAAATAATGTTTGCTGTTATTATTTAATATTTGCCTTTCCACTAAATGATACACTCCAGTGGGGCAGGGCTTCCTATATTCAACATGGTACTCAATTCCAGACCTCCAACAAACATTTGAGAAATGTAGTTCCCTTCCTCAGTCCCCCAAATCCCAGGTGGGGAGGACATAACTGTCTGTGTAGAAGAAAAACAAGCTGTCACGTTCCTGACCTGCCCGGGCAGCTGAACCCCAAGTCAGGGGCCAACCCCAACTGGCCTGTGGGACTCAGCCAACTGCTTCTGCTCAGACTTGACTACAGAAGGACACCCACTGGGAGCCAGATCTCCATTGTTAGCAGCTTGTGCTGCCAGGGAAGGCAGCCATGCCTTTCAGCCTCTGAAGCCACCTCCTGGAGGGCTGAGAGAAGAGCTCTCAGGGAGGGCTCCTTACCCACAGTCCCCACAACTGCTCCAAGAACCGACTGCCTAGTGGGAGTATTAGGGAATAGGAATGAGCAGAGCCCAACAGGGAAAGTATTCATTGATGGGGAAGAGGGCAGAATGGTGTAAAGAAAAGGTAAAGATTTACAAGTGCGGGCTGGTGGCTCACGCCGGTAATCTTAGCTACTCAGGAGGTTGAGATGGATTGCAGTTCAAAGCCAGCCTGGGCAGGAAAGTTAGTGAGTCTCTTATCTCCAATCAACCCCCTGGAAAACCAGAAGTGGGGCTGTGGCTCAAGTGGTAGAGCACTAGCCTTGAGCTGAAGAGCTCAGTGAGTTCAAGCCCCAGGACCAGCATGCACGAGTATATCTCTATCAATCTATCTATCGATCAATTGATCGATACACACACAGAAGAAAACGGTAAAGATGACAGGTACTTTGCCCACAGGAAGTAAAACAGTAAGGGTAAGGCCACTTCCTACTTCAAAGCACCAGAGAGCCAAGTCCCAGTGTGGGTAGTGATGAGGTTGTGAACCCTGGCATACCAGAAAATCTTGAGTTTCTATCATCCACCCTCAAGGTAGAAGTAGCTGCCAGTCCAAGCTCCAGAAAAAGAGGCTGCATATCAGTTGATCATCAGTGTGTCCTTCCGGAGTGCTCTGGGTGATTTGGTTCTTGACCTCTAGACGCTGATACATGAAACTTTATATTTATTTATGTAAGGTGAAATAAGGAGATGAGAGAGGTCAGAACAAGCACGGATTGGGGCTGTGGTGGAGTGCCCCAGGAGTATCTGAGGAGAAAGGGTAAAAACAAGACTATAACCCTAACCAATTTCATGTGCCTGCTATGAGAGGTTTATCATCCCAGATGAGGGTGAGACTGTACACTGGGTGTTTCAGGGTAACCATATAAAGCACTTTGTATCGAGTCACAGGGTTAAAGGAAGAATGATGAGAAGAATATTGGGGCAAAACCCTGCAAATGACTCACTTTACTGTGTAAGTAGAGCCAGTTACCTTTTGAAAAATGTTCATCAGCTGCCTACTATGTGCTTGGTATAGCCTTTTCTTCAAACATCCAAATAAGGTGGAAGTTTACGGTTTACACAATTAGAAGGGTCTGTTCTTTTCTATTTCCTTTCTATCTAAGATCCTTTCTATCTTAAGATCATCCTCCCTTCTTGCTACTTTTTTCAACAGCACAGATTGACGTGTCCATTGTGGAGCCTGCAGACATGTCTGTGTGCACACACAAACACACACCCTCGCACACACTCTTCTTGATCCCCATTGCTGTAGCACCCACACAACCTCCAGCTACCCCACAGCAATTAGAGAGGGAAGATACATACAAATAATAACAGCTCACTAGCTCCCTGTGCATCAGTATCTATGGCAACCTCATGGGGTCCACAGGCTGTGCTGTTCCCATTGCAGCCAGTCCCCCGGGCAGCATCAGCACTCAGGCAGTGCCCAGAGTTCCTGGCACAGGGAATAATGTAAGAAATCAATGCCCTGATAATCACCAGAAGAACCCTACTGGGGTCTCTCATTTTTATCTTTCTCTTTGAAGCTACAGAAAATTACACTATTGCCCCCTAAATGAGAGAAGCTCCCTTCCTAAGTTTAGAATGAAATTTTAGAATATGGAAAAGATCTTAACTCTTCAGACCGAAGGAAAATGGATCTGTTGGTAGTAAAGTATTTTTTGGGGGGTCTGGTCGTGGGGCCTGAACGCTGGGCCTGGGCGCTGTCCCTCAGCTCTTCAGCTCAAGGCAAGCACTCTACCACTTT